GTTCTGAAGAGGCATGTTATAGTGAGGCTCTTTGTGTAGATAGTACTACATAGCAGGTAACTGGCATTTCACCTGTTATATAAGAAACTACTTATTGCAGGGTTAGTTTGTGAAATTAAGTCAATTGCTTCTTTAAGAAATGACATTCTAGTTGTCTCTAAGCCATATCCTAAGAATAACAGTGCTTATTTATTTATTTATTTGGTAGAAGTTGCTACCTTAACATTTTCGTAATTTAGAACATTAGTCTGTGAAAAGAAAATCCACTCTGGAACTCAGCTTTTTATTGCATTAATGAGATCTTATTAGAGAGATATCTGATTGAAAATTGTCATTTTATTTTTTTAGAGAGTTTTTTCCCCTGCTTCTGAGGTATATTAAATAATTTATCAAAATCTTTAAAAAATATTTTTGTTGACTTCAGAGAGGAAGGGAAAGGGAGAGAGAGATAGAAACATCAATGATGAAAGAGAATCATTGATGGGCTGCTTCCTTCATGCTCCTTTCTGGGGATCAAGCCTACAACCTGAGGACGTGCCCCGACTGGGAATCAAACTGTGAATCTTGACTCATAGATTGATGCTCAACTTCTGAGTCACACAGCCAGACTGCCAAAATCTTTTTTTACCAGTAATTGGTATATCTAATTATAAGGGCTACTAGAGGCCTGGTGCACGAAATTCCTGCACGGGGAGGGGATGTGTCCCTTAGCCCAGCCTGCACCCTCCCCAATCTGGGACCTCTCAAGGGATGTCCCACTGCTCGTTTCGGGCATCTCTCTCATAGTTCAGGTCTGCTGGCTCCCAACTGCTCACCTGCCTACCTTCCTGATTGCCCCCAATTACTTCTGCCTGTCAGCCTGATAACCTTCTAACCACTCTCTACCAGACTGCTCCCCTTCCAGCCTGCTTGCCCCTAACTGCCCTCCCCTGCAGGCCTGATCACCCCTAACTGCCCTCCCCTGCAGGCCTGGTCCCCCCCATCTGCCTCCCCTGCAGGCCTGGTCTTCCCCTGCAGGTCTGGTCCCCCTAATTACTCTCCCCTGCAGGCCTGGGTCTCCCCCCCACTCCCAAATGCCCTTTCCTGCAGGCCCGGTCATCCCCAACTTCCCTCTTCTGCTGGCCTAGTCACCCCTAACTGCCCTTCCCTGCTGGCCTGATCACCCACAACTGCCCCCCCTTGCAGGCCTGGTTCCTCCAAATTGCCCTTCCCTGATGGCCATCTTGTGTCCACATGGTGGCAGCCATCTTGTGTGTTGGAGTGATGGTCAATTTGCATATTACTCTTATTAGATAGGATAGAGGCTGATGCATGGGTGGGGGCTGGCTGGTTTGCCCTAAAGGGTGTCCTGGAACAGGGTGGGTGTTCCCTTGGGGCATGGGGTGGCCTGGGCGAGGGGCTTGTGGTGGTTTTCAGGCTGGCCTTGCCCCCCAGTGACCTAAGGGGAGGCCCTGATATCTGGAATTTTTTAATCTTCTATGATTAAAACTTTGTAGCCTTGAGTGGAGGCTAGGGCCAGTCAGGAAGCTTGGCTTCCTCCATCATGGGGGACAACCCAAGTCTCCTGCTTGCTTCAGTTCTGTGGCTGCTGCCATTTTTGTTGGGATTCATTTATCTTCTATAATTGAAACTTTGGACCCTTGAGTGGAGGCCAGGGCTGGTCAGGAAGCTTGGCTTCCTCCACTGCCAGGGAAACCCAAGCCTCCTGCTTGCTGTGTGGCCACAGCCATCTTGGTTAGGTTAATTTGCGTACTGCTCTTGTTTGGCCTATGGGCATGCTTTGTGGGTGTAGTGGAGGTATGGTCAATTTGCATGTTTCTCTTTTATTAGTGTAGATATTGCTATTTTAACTTAATTATTCAGTTGTAGTTATATACGTGACATAGTAGCAGAGAACTCTATCAAATTTTCAAATTAATTTGGGTCTTTAATATTTCATTTCTCATGTAGTGGAATAGATTAATCATGAAAATATTTTCCAGTTTAATTTTTTTGATTCCATGCAATATAACTTTTAAATAAGCATAGAATTGGCCATTTTAGTGTATCTGCAAATGAAAACCATATTTTTTACTGTTCAACTGATACAAGTTTTTTGCTTTCAGGAAGTTACTTTGTTTTGTACAAGCCTATATAAATTGTGTTTGAGGATTTTAAAAGGTGGCATTGTAATTTCTGGATGTTTGACTCATCAAGAGAATATATAGGAATTATTATAAAGAAGTATAATGGCAAGGATAGCAGAATTATTTTTAATTAGGATTGGAGAATTACAAATATCATTATAGAGGAGCTGACATTATAATTGGGCTTGGAGGATTTAATACCCTGTTTCCCTGAAAATAAGACAGTGTCTTATATTAATTTTTGCTCCCAAAGATATGCTAGGTCTTATTTTCAGGGGATGTCTTATTTTTCCATGAAGAAGAATATGGTACACATTTATTGTTAAATGAAACAATGCTCATTTATTGTTAAATTTATTACCTGTATACGGTATGGTAGTACAGTAGTTGTTAAAAACCAGACAAACTGTGAATCCTACAGTATCAAGAATTTACTCATTTATTCAATGACAATCATGTCATCATCTTCTGGAACATCATCATAACAATCCAATTCCTGAATTTCCTGGTGAATTTCTTGTGACTCCATTTCTTTCAGAACCAGTGGACCAAATCTCTCATGTTTAGCAATAGCATTCTGAGACAGAGCCTGGGGGGGGGAGGGTTATTTTCGGGGGGTGCCTTATATTTCACTCAGAAGGAAACCTGTAAGTAGGTCTTATTTTTGGGGAAACACAGTAGTTTTATGACAGGCATTACTTATGCTCAATCTCTCATCTGGAAAGCTATGCTTATTTTCATGACTTTGAGTTTGGAATGCAGGTATCCAGGGCTGGTGGGAAAGGTCTAGGAAAAACATCTTAGATTGAAGGGTTTTGATGTGTTATTAAGGAGGTGCAGCTATGTCGTCAGCATTGAGGAGTCTGAACATTTAGAGCTTGGCACTGGATGCGTGGCTGAGGGATGGGGCATTGTGATTACCTCTAGCTTAAGGATGACGCGGCAGGTGGGCAGTGATGCTGCAACAGAGGCAGGACCAGAGATGAGGTTGGAAGTTTGTGGTGGGCAGAGATGACTCAAGTTTTAGACAACATTGAGGGTTATAGGCTATTTTATTTTGTGACACTGAGCATATTTTGAAATCTGGGTTAGAATGGGAGTTGAGGCTTACTTATACATAATCTTAACATTCTTTCCTCTGCTGTGTTCTTGTTGTCTGCTTTGTTCTATTCTGTTACTTCTGGTTGTTATCTTCACTGCAGGCAAAATTCTATACTCTGAATTGTGTTTCAGGAATGCTTACGTCATGTGATTGTGGAAAAGGAATGTTGATCTGATCTTCCGTTGTCTTGAAGTTGGTGGCCGCAGAATACCAGAGCTTATGACAAAGAGGGGTGTGTTGGTTTAGACTTGACCCGGAGAGAAGTTTTGCTTTTCTAGGGAAATATTTTATTGCTTAGTTTTCCAGCCTTTTCTCTTTTGACTTCCTGTTGAATTGTTTTTCTATTGTAGTAGTCAGTTTGTATGAGGTTAAATCCTAAACATAACATGTTGTCTTCGATGAGAGGTATTGTAGAATTCTCACAGTTCCCTCTGCTTATTTGTCCCACTGATTATAATAGTTTATTCTAGCACATTTGGTCATAAAATTTAGATAAGACTTTGGGGCAATGCTACACAGGGAAAACATTTTTAGAATGTATCAGTTTGGCCTTCTCTGTAATTCTAGCACTTTTGTGATTTTCCAGCTTTGACAATATTTCTTTTTTTTAATTTTATTATTATTATTTTTAAAATATATTTTATTGATTTTGTACAGAGAGGAAGGGAGAGAGATACAGAGTCAGAAACATCGATGAGAGAGAGTCATCGATCAGCTGCCTCTTGCACACCCCCTACTGAGGATATGCCCGCAACCAAGGTACATGCCCTTGACCGAAATCGAACCCGGGACCCGTCAGTCCCCAAGCTGACGCTCTATCCATTGAGCCAAACCGGTCCCGGCAATATTTCTTTTTTTTTAAATATCTTCCCTCCGGGATATTTTTTCCATTGGTTTTTAGAGAGAGTGGAAGGGAGGAGGGGGAGAGGCACAGAGAGTCCTTCTTTACAGTAGGGCTTTGGCTAACAAAACTGATGTCAGCATTGTATAAACACATTGGCAGATGCTTTCCTTTCAGTAGTTACTTTAGGGAGCATTAAATATTGTAAAAATTAAATTTTTTTTTATTGTAAATGAGTTCAAATTGGTAATTCCAAGTTTTGTGTGTGTGTGTTTGGTTAATCCTTGCCTTTCCATTGATTTTTAGGGAGAGTGGAAGAGAGAGGGAAAGACAAAGAAAAACATCGATGTGAGAAAAACACATCAATTGGTTGTCTCCTGCACAAGCCCCAACCTGGGCCCAGGCCAGAATCAAACCTAGAGGATCATCCGTAGGCTGATGCTCTATCCACTGAGCCAAACCTGCTGTGGCTGTGTATGTGTGTTTTTAACAAGGGTGTTGATTTCAGAAGAGTTTGTTCTGAAGTTCTTTCTGATTACTGCTAACATTGTGTCTAGTATTTATAAAAAAGTAGCATTTCAAAAGTCAGTTTGGAACAGTTTGAGATTGAAGACAGTTGCAGGGTGCATGTTGTGCTGTGCATGTGATGGTGTTGGGATTCTGTCAGTGGTTGCTGAGTGAGTGACCGTAGGGGTGACCTGTGGTAACACCTGCTACTACAGATGGTGTACCTAGTGAAGTGTTACATTAGATGGCACATGATCTCTTTTTATAGCGAAGTTACTGAGTTCCTAAAGCATTTTCACATTTAACATGTTCAGTTGTGAAGTAGTAACAGTTGGGACCAGAAGGACAGTATGAACAAAGTTTTATGTAGAGTGTAGGGTAAATTTTGCTCTATTTTGTACAATTAACATTATCTTTCTTCTAGTCCAAGTGGTAAGAAGTTCAGAAGCAAACCTCAGTTGGCAAGGTACCTGGGAAATACTGTTGACCTCAGCAGTTTTGACTTCAGAACTGGAAAGATGATGCCTAGTAAATTACAGAAGAACAAACAGAGACTGCGGAATGATCCTCTCAATCAGAATAAGGTTGGTTAACTTATGACATCTGTATTCTATTTCAAGAGTTCTCTAAAAAATTTTAAATATAACACTGAGATTTTGACTGTCCAGTTTTTTTGTTTTTTTCTCCTCCTGCTAAGCATTTTGATTATAAACCTGATTAATGTCCTGGTAGTTCAGTCCTTCGGAGGAGGAGCCTACGTAAATTGTACACAGTTGAAAACACATTTCAGTGTCTCTCTAGGCCCGTATACATCATACTTTTCGCCGTTGGGACTATTTACAAACTATTTCTTTGTCGATGTTAATTGTCCCTCTTTCTCCTTCTCCCCCCTTAAAATAGTTCCTGTTGCCCCAGAAAAGGCAGCACTTTAATGTGGCATGTATTCTTACCATATAGTGTATAGTTAGTTCCCTATTCATTTTCAGGATTACTGTTTGAGAAAGGGGAGTTTTTATTTTGACTTGTTGAGGATAATGACTTTTAGGAATGTTCTCATCCTAACACAGAGATTAGAAATTTTCCCATTAGCTTTTATTTTTATTGAATGGTTTAGTTGATGGTTAGTAGCATAGGAATTCAAATAAGTAGGATTTGAATTATAATGCTTACTTAGTTGTATTAATGCACCCAGTATCTTTACAAAAGCACCTTTAACCCTACCCCTCCCAAGGGCAACACATGTTATAACCATTTTTTCCTCACAATTTCTTGCTGTAAATTACATAGATAGATGTGTATGTGTGTTGCCACCACCATTGTCTCACACTGACTGGAAATGTGAGGGGAAAGGAAGCGCTTTCTTCCTTGGCATGTGACTGACGGAGCTGTGCATGCACTTGGGAGCCCCGAGGTGGTGCAGCAGAGGGGAGGGGCTTTGGGGCAGGCCCCTGGATGGACGCCCTGGCACTGCCACTGGCGCTCACACAGACATGGGCACCTTTCTTCCCTGTGATGGCCTCTGCCTTCTCCGTCTGGTCACAGAGTCGTTCCCTTAGCATTGTGAGGGGTGAAGAGGAATTTATATGAGAACATCTTCCCAAGTATTTGACCCATGTTAGTTCCTTTCCGCCCCCATTGCACCTTCCCAAGCACTGAGCTACCCAGTGAGCTGCCTGGTGGCCAGTGTAGGAAAGTCTGCCCCAGGCGGTTTTCCTCCTCCTCTTTTATTTCTCCTGAAAGGTATGGGGTCTGGGTTTCATATCTCTTTATTCAGAAATCAGCTTCCTAGTTGGTTTACAGTAGTTTAATTCCAAAAACTGTCATGGAGATTAGATTGCAGAGTTTCCTCATCTATGGTATCTTGCACAGGTTCCCATGAGACCTTGGCAGGAACCTTGTTAAAGAGGCAGGATGGGAGGGGAGGCTGTCATGCTGTTACTTTGGGTTGGTAGGTAAGAAGGTGTTAAGATATGAGGTAGTGAGAGGAGGAGATGGAGCTCATGCTAGTAAAAGTTGGGACCTTGAGTAGTGTATAGGCAAAGCTGTGTGAGTTCAGCTTAAAGAAACCTTTATTCTAGGTTTATTTTGCTTCTTAAATATACTAAACCAGCCTCTAAAAACTCTAACCACAGTGCTGGTATCTATTGAAGGGGCTCAAATGTTTATGGATGATTGGACTGCTTTCAAACTGCCTTGTTACTAGAATCATGATTAAGTTACACTAAGTGAAATGTGAAGATAACTTTCTGATCATTATGATGCACTAAAAACCGAACCTAATTCGTCTCTTTAGTTTGTGTGCTCCTTTGCACTCTAGCGCGCTGACTGCTCCTCCTGCACCGTGGCATGTGCTTTCAAGATTCTGCTTGCTCATGTGCTGTGTCCTCTGCTTGGAATGCGCCCCCCTCCCCTTCCACCTGGCCAGCTCCTCCTCATCCTCATCCTCATCGTGGCCCAGCTCCATTGTCTCGCCTCTGAAGCCTGCCCTGCACTCTCCAAGCAGAACAGCCCCTTCTTCATTGTGCTCCCTGGTGCTTGCTGTTGTGTTTGTGGTGGTTTGTCCGCTTCAGTACACTGTGAGCTCCACGAGGGCAGGGACCATGTCTGCTTTTGGTTGTTTCTGTATGTGTCGCCCAAAACCTAGCACACGGTAGGTACTTAATACATGTTTGCTTCATGTTTATTTGACTGAATAGCTACCTCATCCCAGAGGTCATAGTGGTCATAAATGTTTACTGAATAAATTAATATACTATACATTTTTTTGGAAATGCCTTTCATTGTCATTGGTTTCTGAAGATATTCTGTTAGTTTAAGGGAAAAAGATCAGACAAGACTTAGAAGTCATTAACATCAAGTTGCCATTTGAAGTCTTGAGCGGCTTTCTCAGAGCTTGCTTGAAGGGGGAAGTTACAGAGCAACGTTCTGCCAAAGTAGTTTTTGTGCTGATGGGAATGTTGTACCCACCTGCTACATGTGGCTATTGCATGTTTGAAATGTGGCTAGTGTGACTGACTGGACTTTTGATTTTATTTAATTAGTTTAAGTTTAAATAGCCACATATTTCTAGTGGCTACCATATTGGACAGCACGGTCTGATCCTCAGTAGTTACATAATGAAAACAGAAACTTTGTTCTGAAAGCTACATATCATTTAGGCATTTATGCAAGCTCTCGATTTTCAAAGAGGAGATGTTACAAGGTTTGATATAAAATGTTGATAGTCTCAACATTTTAAGAAGTTTGTTTTTTAAAAAGATGTTCTGTTTCTTTAAAAATTTAATTGGAGAACACTAGGATTGGATAAAGAAGAGTATAGTGATTCTTAGTGCAAGATGTGCTTAAGAAGCTTGGTTTTGTTGCTAGATATTCCTTTTATTTAATGTTTCAAATGTGTAAACACTAAACTTTATTCCATGTGTTTCTGGCTTTTAAGAACATTAAATGTTTATCAACTAAAGCTACAAACCAATAAAATTTAAACTCTCTAACATTAATATAACATATGGTGTATTTTCCACATTTCTTACAATATTTGTATGGTATGGACAAGTTATTTTTTACCTGGGCTTGTCAGTTCTACCTAATACCTTGGAAAGACTCAGTTCTTTTCCTACATTTCTTTATTCACACCAATTTGATACATTTTGAAATAAAGAGCATCATATTCTCTTGAGTGGAATTAATTGTATAAGTCTGTCATTCATTTCTCAAACAATGGCAATATGCAGTTGTGATGATAATTCACACAGCTTTGAATTCTGTATGGCTGTGTCCTAGGTAGTCAACCAAACGACCTAATAGGTGCTTGTTTTGATGATCTTCAACAAAATACTAAAAATAAATTCTTGTAGAGAGTTCCTATATCATGGGGACAGTATCTGTAGTTTGAGAAACATGTGAGCTGCTGTGATGGTGGGCATCGGTGGGTATTGGATTTTATAGAATGGGTGCAGTATAGAGAACAGATTAGGGAAAGGTAAAACGAAGTAGAGAAAGCACTTTGGGCTGATGTTTAGGAAAGAGATGCCTTGAATCAGTGCTATAGCAGGAGGCAGGGGAAGGTGTGGGACTCAAGGGAATTAGTGCATGTAAGTACCTGGTGAGTGGAGGAAGGACTGGTGCCTGCTACAATTCTGGCTTGAGATATTTGGGGCAGTGGTAGAAATTGCTGCTTATGCAGAATTTATGTCCAATGTGACTATAAGTGATAAATCTATTTTGCTAATTGTTGGCTTCCTTCTACCCCTAGAATGTAAGTTCTAAGGCAGGGATTTTGATGTTTTGTTAACCATTTGTATGCCATAAGAATCTAGATGTGAGCTGCAGACCTTTTTAAATTAAATTCAAAATATTGTGACAGTTAACTGGTTAATGACTGTAGACCCCACATGCAGTGAGTGCCTGACAGATAGTAGGCACTCGATATTTGTTCAGTGACTGACTGACTGAAAGCTGCCTTAGCAGCAATAGCATGATACATGTGTTACCTCATTTGATCTTTATGAGAATCTTACAGGTAGTTGCTGTTAATCCTCATTTACAGATGAGGAAAGTGACCTTAGGAAAATAGTCTGTCTCAGATTGTGGCATGACTATCTCTTGAGGGCATGTAGTATATGCAGAGCCAGAGAATTAAAATGATACTTGGAAGTATTAGTTTCATTACAACATTTTGGGTAGGGAGAGCAACATTTTTACATTAAAACAAACATGGCTAATTTTTTTTTTAAACTTTTTTTTACATTGATTTTTCACAGAGAGGAAGGGAGAGAAATAGAGACTTAGAAACATGGATTAGAGAAAGTCATCGATCATCTGCCTCCTGCACACCCCCTACTGGGGATGTGCCCGCAACCAAGGTACATGCCCTTGACCGGAATCGAACCCGGGACCATCCAGTCCGCAGGCCGACGCTCTATCCGCTGAGCCAAACCGGTTTCGGCAAACATGGCTAATTTTTAAAAAAGTACAAAATTTGTATGAATCTTAAAGATAAAATATGTAGATAGAATATACACAATTTGGAACTGTGACACAGCAGCTTTATGTAAAGACAGGCTGACAAGTGTAGTATTTAGAACATACAGGTTAAGCCCCTGCTGTCCAGCTATGCTGTGTGAAAGCTTTCCCTGCTATCACCACATGGATGGGTTTCTAGTTGTTTCCGTGCCCTGAACTTTCTCATATCTACTAGCATGTCCAGTTGATCTGGGAAGGAACCTGAGAGAGCTACAGGGTCCTTTTTGCCCGTTCCCTTTCATAGTCCACCTTCAGTTCTACTGAAGGGCACATGCACACTTCCCACTTGTTCGAAACTCTACCGAGGTACTAAATTGTCTCCAGTGGGGGTCAATGTGAAATATTGGTGTTGGTATGGAAAAATGAATGACTTGACAACAGTAAAGTCTTTCTGCTCACACCATTCTTTGCAACAACATTTACCAGAGGACTTAATGTAGAGATCGATTATTACAATTTTTGATGGTGCACATTTTGTTCTGTAACTCAAAAGAAGTTCAAAAGAATTAAGTGACATTTACTCATTTATGTGAACAAGGATTCTTAGTGGTGCATTAAAAAAAGAAGAATATAAATAGAATTGACACTAATTCTTGACCCATTTTAGCCATTAATAATATTCAAGGCCATGAAGTTATTTTTATTTAATTTATTTATTTTATTTTTAAAATAAATCTTTATTGCTCAGATTATTACATTTGTTTCTCCTTCCCCCTCGCCCCCCATAGCTCCCTTCCACCAGGTTCCTGCCACACCCTCTGCCCTTACCTACTCCCCTCCCCACCCACCCCCCCGCAATTGTCCTCATCCATAGGTTATATGATTTTAATCCAGTCTCTTTCTGCACCCCCACACCCCTTTCCTCCTGATAATTATCAATCCACTCCCTTTCTTTGCCTTTGATTCTATTATATTCACCAGTTTATTCTGGTCTCATGAAGTTATTTTTAAATAACTTCTTAATATATTTATTTGATTTTTCATCTCTTATGCTTAATAATTATTTGTTAAAATGTAAATCATCATTTTTGGTCAGTAATATACAACTAATTGTAATAAACCAGAATAGATTTATTTATTTTTATCATTAAGAGCTCTATGGTTACAGAAAAGTTAAAAGAAATAATTTCATGAGATAAATGATCAGTTAAAGGTTTTCAAATTTAAAATAGGAAAAACACTGGGAATGGAATTATTTAAAGAGAAAAAGGAGAGGAATAAAATATATAACTTCAGCTTGTTCACGTATAAGTGGGTTAATGGTGGGATTTTAAAGTGACAAAACAGTTTATTAAAGTGTCAGTGTTTAAATATTTTAGAAAGTGGATCCTTTGAAACCATTTTCCATTAAAATATGAAATATTCTTCATGTCAACTTTAAAATGTAGGTGGTGTATATATTTTCAAAACAGTTTTAGGGATTAGGAATGCAAAAAAATGTTTGAAAACCTCTATGAAATGCTCTATGACATGCACTTGTCACCCATCTCTTGGCCTTAATCTAGGAACTGAAAGGCTGCACGCTGGTTTGATCCCTTTCAGAATCACCTTCACTGTGTTGTCCTTTAAATGTTTTTTTTTTTTTTTTGGTCTTTATGGAAGGTCATTGAGAAAAGAAAAAGCATTTGAAATCTTCTTAATATTTGTTGTGATGTCAAGTGCCTTTAATTTTTTTCTCGATTTAATATCAGTACAGCTTTTGTTTTCTTCATTAATTCTTATATTTCCTCATTCCTAACCATGATATCTATGTAATTTAATCTCTTTCACCCAGGCCCCAGAAAACACATGTCCCTATTTGATGCTCATCTCTAGTGTCAATTGCTATTAACTTTTTCAAAAGGAAATTTTACCCCTTGTCCTTGATTTTCTATTTTAAAAAAATTAATGTTTTCATATTTGTTCTTTCTGAGCATAAAAGAATCATCTCAAGATATTTCTTGGAAAGAGATGAAGTGAAAGATTTAAAAAAATTATATTCTTGGCACCTAGGGCAATAGAATAAACCCTCAAAATTTTTTGATTTTTTTTTGAGTACTTCCAGTCTAATATGCACATTATTGTAAAATACATTAAACTTTAATTAGAGGGCTAGTCAGTATACTCAGAAAATTTATTATAGGTTAGAAATTTTTAGTTCTAACATTAAAATATGATTTTGCCAATTTAATTTTGTAATTTAAGGAACTTTTTATATTGAAAGGGAGGATTTCAAATATATGTATGAATAGTTTTAATCTTTGTCCCATCAAAAAAAGTGTTGCCCTGGACATGTTTCTCAGTGGTTAGAGTGCACCCTACTCCTCATTCCCCGGGTCAAGGGTGCGCACTTGGATTGCAAGTTTGATCTGTGGCCTGACTGGTTCCCTGGGGGAGGCAACCAATAGATGTGTTTCTCTCACATCAGTCTCTGTCTCCCTCTCTCCCCCTTCCACTCTCTAAAAATCAGTGGGAAAAAAAAAATCCTCAGATGAGAATTAAAAAGCTGTGTGCACATGTGCATGCTTGCGCGCGCGAGCACACACACACACACACACACACACACACACACACACACACAAGTGTTTGTTTTATAGCTCCTGAATTTATAGCAGGTAGTTCTCAAAATTCAGGCACACAACTGGGCATGAATTAAAAGTGACTCTGGCAGTCCTGAGGGGAGAGTGGTAATAAAATGTACTGATTTTGTGACGGTTTCTGGGAAAACCAGTTAGTCCAGCTTTCCAGATTACATGATACTGTTTTGGAATACAGAATTAACTAGTAAAAAATTCTTTCTGTCTTCAGAGCTTTGAAGGCCAATTAAAAGGAGAAAAACAAAACTAAAGATCAAGAGGAAAGTAATAGCACACTCTTGAGTAACGCCACTGGGAATGAATAATCGTCTCAAATGTTAGGCAATAGAAGTTAATTGTATATTTTGAATATTTTTAGCCAACTTTTCTAATTTTTACTTATTGAATAAAAAACACGAGTTAATTAAAAAAAAAAAAATCAATCTTACTATTGTAGCACCAGTAGTTTTACATTGCATGTTTCCTTCCAGTCTGGATTCAGAATTCATAGTTTGGGGTCATCTTTGCTGCCTCCAGTCATCCTTTGTAACAATGAGAATCCTACAGGCTTGACCTTGTTTGCTCATACAGTTGAGGAATACTTCTGTGTCTACTGATGCCATCTTTGTTCAAATGTGAGCAGACTGTATTTTTTTTAAGAAAGAACAATAACAAAACCAAAGGTTTTGGTTAGTGACATATACTAATTATAACTAATTAGTGACAGGAAAAATTCTCCAGGAGCATTTAGGTGTGGAGCTTCTCTAGGATTGAATATTGATTACTTTATAGATCAGGTTTCACTAAGGGCTCAGGATGCTGTCACGAATCAGAGGTGTCCAAACCTGTGGTATCAGGTTTACAATTACCAGGAAAGCTTTTAAAAATACACATTTCCGGGTTTCACACTTTTTAAAAAAATAACGTAGTAAGTGGTTATTTTGCAGCCTATTGGCTAGGCTTGTACACTTCTAAATAAAAGTGTTTTTAAAAAAATATATATTTTATTGATTTTCCACAGAGAGGAAGGGAGAGGGATAGAGAGCTAGAAACATCGATGAGAGAGAAACATTGACCAGCTGCCTCCTGCACACCCCCTACCGGGGATGTGCCTGCAACCAAGATACATGCCCTTGACCGGAATCGAACCTGGGACCTTCCAGTCTGCAGACTGACGCTCTATTCACTGAGCCAAACCAGTTTCGGCTGTTTTTTTTTTTTTTTTTTTTAAATTCATAAAGATAAATGAGCTAAATACCCGAGAATAATATTGTTAGAGTTACTTAAGATGAATATAGCTCATAAAGGTAAGCACATGCACTGGGAAGAAATGAGCGAGAGAAAGGAATAACAAGCATGCCCAGTACATACAGAGGAGTGTGTGTGTGAGGGGTCAGGTGCGGGGAGGGAGGTGGAGACTCTCATATAATAGTGGGTCCAAATAATACTGTAGCAATTGTCAGATTAATTTATTGTGATGCTTGTTTTTCTAGAATCATTTAAGCAGAGGTCACAAACTCCATCCCCACAGGGCTCGGTAACACAAAGGGAGTTGTTGAAAAATTCTGCAAGGACCTTGGTACCTCAAGTGGGCAGCCATCGTTAGTCAATCATGGCCTCTTACTAGTGGCTAAATCAAGTTCAGTTTTTCTAGATCTTTGAGTTTTTAAGAGAAGCTTGAGTTCTGGATTTCATGTGGTCTCCAGATTTGTAGCTGTCAGCTTAATTTATCAAAGATCCACAACAGAGCAGCACACGACGGTGGGTTAAACTCGATTTGTCTGTTACCAGTTTGCAGTCTTTTAGTAGACATGCCAATTCCCAGGCCCACCTCAGACCTACTGCATTGAATCTCAGGGAGTGAGTCCCAGTGATCTGTGTTTCAGTAAACCCTCTGGGTGGTTCTGACAAAAGCTCAAGTTTGAGAAACACTATTTTGGAGTTTGAAAGTTGAGATGATAATTTTTACATGGATCACTAATGTGAAGATAAGAGTTCATTGACTCTCCAATCATTTATCAAGTATATTTCCATATTAAAAATAGCAGATGTGTATTATTATGTATATATGATTTTTTATATTTTTTGCCATTATCACATTTTGTTCTTTTTCTCACCTTCCCTGGCCAGCCCACCCCTCTACCCCTTGTTAAAGTATTGCAAATGAACTTAATGGCGATTCTGGGCCTCATTTGGACTTCACTAGAACACATTTTTCTAAATGGAGTCCTGTTTGCTAGAATTAGAACTTCCATTTCTCATTCTCCTGTAAAAGGGAAAGGTTAATTTATGTGGCTTTATGAGGGGCTAGCCTCCTAAAAGCTGACGAGGTTGTTTGTGTTTTAATGGCCAAGTATGCCATCATTTTCCATTCTCAGAACGTGGAAATGACCACCGTCCTAGTTATTATTCTGAAAGCACTCCTTACTTTTGTATAACCCAACTTTAAACATAATCAAATTATGAATTTTCTAGAGAGAATTTTTTTACATTTAAAAGTATAAAATATAGGGTGGAGCAAAAGTAGGTTTATAGTTGCGAGTACAGGAAACATGAGGTTTATTCTTGTATTATTTATTGCATCATTTTCCATATGAACAACTGTAAAGCTACTTTTGCCCCACCCTGTGTGTCTTATAGAGTACTAAAAATATATGTTAGAGTATTTAAAATATCAATTTTGAGAAGTTTGGAATAATCGAATTTAAAGTAGTGGATATTGGATTAATAAGAATTTATCTATGTAATTATATTTATGTATAACATTTTTTAATGAAAACATGCTTATATCCACAGGGTAAACCAGACTTAAATACAACATTGCCAATTAGACAAACAGCATCAATTTTCAAACAACCAGTAACCAAAGTCACCAATCATCCTAATAATAAAGTGAAATCAGACCCACAACGAATGAACGAACAACCACGTCAGGTAAGGATCTAATTAGTTCTCCCAATTTCAGTTTTCTGAAAACTCTGGTATTTTTACCAGATATAGTTTAAGTAAATTCTGGTTAAAATGGAGTATATTTGGAAAGAAAATTGTTTTATGTCCTAGGCGATTACAGGAATGCTGGAGAAGAACGAATAATTCAATATTTAGGTACAATGTTCCAAGAAAAAAATTCAGTTAATTTCAAATGAATCTAAATTAATATTATAGACTACATTTTTTTGCTTTTGTGTGGTAATGTACATCAGACTTGATTCTGCTAAACTTAGTTTTTTAAAGATTATCTTTCTAGGGATAGTATTTCCTAAGGGGATGAAGGATGCAGTTTGTGTTGTTTAGTCTACAAATCTTTTATTTGGAAACTACTTTTTGTTCTGACTTCTTATTACATGAAAGCTATCCCTCCCCTTTTGAAAAACAAACTTTGTCAATATGGTGAATTGTCCTGTGACTTCCACTTTTGTATAAATTGGATGTATTAGTCTCTCTCTTTATTGCTGCAAGCTGTATTCCACCAGCATCTTTTCTCAGGAAAAAATGTTATCTGAAGGGCCTCCCTGCTGCTTAATAAGGCGCATAGCCAGGGGAGGGTCTTCACTAAATGCTTAAGCTTTCCAAGTCACCTTGCTTATTCGTTCCCTAATGGTGGTAAAAAAACATTCAGGTGCTTTGTGAATTTTTAGTAGCAATTAGGGTGAGGACATGGAGGGAGAAACTTCTATGCATTTTCCCCCCTCTCCTTTCTCTGCCTCCTCGCACTTAGGAGGAACCCAGATTGATCTACACGATTATCTTGTGCTCTCATATTCCCCTTTTAGAGTCTCGCTCCACTTTTCCATTTGAATTTTGTTTTTCACTAGCCCCTCAAGTGTCTCATCTCCAGGCTTGAGAAAGGATTGGGCCAGAACATTCAGACAGTTGCTCTAGGAGAAACGACATAAAGAAATTCAGTTCCCACATCCTCTGTAGTGTTTTTTCCTCTTCAGGTGAGCCAGGAAAACAGAAGATTTGTGGAGCCACATTGGATCAGCATCTTGCTATAGATGTCTCAAGATTTGAAGTTCTAAACTTGCTTTACTGTTGGTCCCCAAGAGATTCCACAGGGGCCATGTAAGTGTATCACATCCAATATCAAAGATGCGTACCTGCATGTGCCTGTAGGCTCTTGTCACCACGTAGGTTTTCTCTGAGCTCAGCTTTTTGTGCCAGGCTTTCCCCTCCTGTTCTACTCCTGTGCCCACAGGTAGCTACCAGACTGCAGGGTTAGTGTGTTCATTACCCCAGGGAAGGAACTCGGCCATTCTGAACTTCACCCACCTTGTAAAGCCATTCCCTGTGCTCGTATTCTTTCTTACATGCTTTCCAGAATCTTGAACATCTTGTCCTTTAGTTTTTTTGGTGATATTAAAGTCGTTTTCTTGTAAAGATTTTTGTTGAAAAATTTGAAAGTATGTAATTGGCTAAGACAGTTTGCTTCAAAAAGCCCAAAAGATAAGAAAGTGGAATATTAATCCCATGTTGAAAATCTGCATTGTCTTATTGAGGACAGATCGTATTTAGTAGGTTTTATTCTCATCTTTTCTTTGCCAAATCATCCTCAGTATAATCTACAAATGCAAATATTTTTGTTAAAGACGAACTGAGTAACAAATTATGGTCATTTTAACAGTAAGTGTTTTTCTGCACCTGAGTTTATCAGATTTAAAAAACTAGTAAATGCATTTGCTGAGTGTTCATCTGGCTATAGAGATATTGGTGACTTAGATTTTTGAAGTTGAATTAACCAGATCAGTTGTTCTTTATTCTTTGGTGTACTGAGTAGTTTCAAGTTTTTCTTCTTTTATTAAAGTTTATGAGATTATTCTCAAATGAAAAGAATGTTAAAAAAAAAAAAAGCTGAATCCTACCTCCCAACCCCGCCTCCAACCCCCCTGAAAAAGCATGTCATTTTTAACCCAGATCTTTTTTCTTTTTCTTTTTCTTTTTCTTTTTTTTTTTTTAATATATCTTATTGTTTTTTTACAGAGAGGAGGAGAGAGGGATAGAGAGTTAGAAACATCGATGAGAGAGAATCATTGATCAGCTGCTTCTTGCACACCCCCTACTGGGGATGTGCCTGCAACCAAGGTATATGCCCTTGACCGGAATCGAACCTGGGACCTTTCAGTCCACAGGCTGACGCTCTATCCACTGAGCCAAACCGGTTTTGGCTTAACCCAGATCTTTTGAGGGTTTATCTACCTTATAGCTTGCATAGACAGGAAAGGTTAAAATTATTTAGGAGGTGACTTTTCTAAGAGTTTGGACTATTTTTTCACTTTATCCTCATATCACCTGACAATTTTGGCTGGATAATTTTGATTAAGACATTAGTTGTCTTTTCCCTTCTTTATCTTCAACGTAAGAATTGAAATAATATTTAACTTGTTTCACGAATGGGATTTCAAAATATTGGATTGTGCATTGTGCAAATATGACAAAATAGTAGAGAGACAACTTTTGTGTTAATGTTTTAAAAATTATGGTTTGTAATTCTGACTATTCCAGTTTAGACTCAAGTTTTTTTAGTAAAGGAAAACTGTTGATTTTAATTGTGTTTTAACATACATATGGCAGATTACTGCTAATCATATTATTGAGGAGATAGTAAAAAATACATAGGTAAAAGTGATTCTTCCAATTTTGTTATCTTTGTATAGCTTCATTGAACTAGATAAATTACCAAATATTCCACTTGGAGAAGTTATTTTGGTCATAGAGTAACTAAATTAGACAATGAGGTTTCTGTAGATATGTTTTTATTCTTTAACCATATCATGTTTTCTTAATAAGATAGTCATAATTTTAAAGTGATGAATTTTCAGACCTAGAAGTAGGATTAGATTTTTGTGTCCTAATTGAGGCTCTACCTTGAATAGGTTTGAAGTACTAATTTATATGTGATGCAATCATAGAAATGAATAATTCTGTCTTATGTAACAGACATCCTATGCCTAGATCTGGCAGTCTAATTTGAAGTCTGTAAAATATATAAATTATTAATTTCTAATGCATTGAGTCCTGGAAATGCTTTAGCTTTAAAAGTACAAATTAGGGTATGTAACCAAATGTGCATTAAACAGAATTCAGCAGAAATTTCTGCCTACAGTTAAAATATAAGGTAGAGATGGTATTTGTAAAACCTGATTATGGTAGGATAGCTAGCCAGATGGTTTTATATATACACTATCATCATGTTTAATGAGTACTTGTCTTTTCTTTAGTGTAAAAAGAAATCTGGAGGGAATTCTATCAGCTATGACTATTATTCCAAATAGAAAGGTCATTGAGATGTCCTTATTTGGCTCAATATGTAAAACATGCCAAATTCTTTTAAATCTAGCTGAATTGTGATTTTGCTGTTAAAAGTGTCTTTCCTAGTTTTCTTCTTTCACTGTCTGGAAAACTCACATTTCTGTTCTTCCTTATTTCTTTGATGCTGTCATCTTTGATACTTTTTGGTCTCATGCTATTATTCTCTTTTATCCTCAAAGCAAAGAAATTTCATCTTTAACCCATTCTTCCTTTTAATTATTAGACTATAGGGTACTGATAGCTTTGGGTGTTTTTGATAGCCTTTGAATATTAATTACATTTCTTACAGAATATTCACTTTTTTTACCAAAAAGTAAATATTTAAATCAGTGAAGTAGATTTAAATCTTCCATTTGATCCTAGGTTTTTAAATTTTGTTTGCTAATTTTTCTTTCAATGGATGTGAAAATTTTCTTTACTACTTTCCAGAAGTCTGCCTCTTTTAGGATGATTTCCCCCCTCCCACCCCCAGCTTTATTGAGATATAATTGACATATAACATTGTGTAAGTTTAAGGTGTACAACATGATGATTTGTTACACATATACTTTGCAAAATTTTACCACAGTAACATTAGTTAACACATTCATCACCTCTCATAATTACCACTTAAAAATATATTTTTATTGATTTCAGAGAGGAAGGGAGAAGTAGAGAGAGAAACATCAGGGATGAGAGAGAATCATTGATCAGCCGCCTCCTGCATGTCCCCTACTGGGGATCGAGCCTGCAAAAGGGGCATGTGCTCTGACTGGGAATTGAACTGTAACCTCCTGGTTCAGAGGTTGATGCTCAACCATTGAGCCACATTGGCTTGGCTAATTACTATTTTTTTGGAGTGTGGTGGTGATGATAACGTTGAAGATCTCTCTCAGCAACTTTCAAGTACACAATACAGTTTTGATCACTGTAGTCACCATGCTGTACATTAGGTATCTGGAATGTATTCATCTTATAACTGAAAGTTGTACCCTTTGGCTAACATCTCCTCACTTCTCTCACCCCCTAACCCCTGACAATCACCAGTATACTCTCTGTTTCTATGAGCTTGGCTTTTTTTAGATTCCACGTATAAGTGAGATCATACAGTACTGACTTATTTCACTCAGCATAATGCCCTCAAGGTTTATCCATGTTGTTGCAAATGGCAAGGTTACCTTCCCTTTTTAAAAAAATGGCTGATAATAATTGTGTGTGTGTGTGTGTGTGTGTGTGTGTGTAGCTCACATTTTCTGTATCTATTCATGTGTTGGTGCACACGTAAGTTATTTCCATTTCTTAGCTTTTGTGACTAATGTTGCAGTGAACATAGGGTGCAGAGGAACAGATACCATGTTCTATTACTACTAAAAGCATAACTCTGGGTGATGTTGGGAAGATGCCATGTAGAAAGGGTCAGATAAATATAGGATCTAGTAATAATTAATGTCGTTTTTAAACATTCGTTTAAAATCTTGCTTGGCGTTGACTTGTATTGACATAACCTTCAAACACGTGGTATCTACAGAACGTGTGAAGTGCAATTAACAAGTTTTGCTTGAAAAAGTTTGTGTTTGGTTTGGTTTTTGTTGCAAAACTAGGGCTAAGAAGATGGCGGATGAAGAGCATATTCGGCACTGCATGCT